CCTCTGCCAGCCCCATCCCAGCTGCATTTCATGCCCCAGCCCCGCCCGCTCCCTTTTTCTTGGCTGCAGACTCAGAATGAGACAGAGTGGTCCTTGTCGCCAGTTGTATTAGCTTCCTATTGTAACAAATGATCATAAACTTGACTTAAACAATACACACTTAGTTGAGAGTTTCAGAGGTCCCAAGTCTGACATGGCTCTCCACGGGCTGAAACCAAGGTGGGGACAATGCTGTGTCCCTCTCTAGAGGCTCTGGGGAGAATCTGTTTCCTGGAGTTTTCCAGCTTCTAGAGGACGCCCGCACTTCTTGCTCACTGCCCCCTCCTCCATCTTCAAAGCCAGCAATGTCACACCTCTGATGATTCTTCCACCAGCCCACCTCCCTTTGACTGACAGTAGCTGGAAAAGACTCTCCAGGTCTAAGGACTTGTGTGGCCACACTGCAACACCCGCAGAATCCAGGAGAATGCCCCCACCTCAGAGTTGTTAACTTGAATCACAGCTGCAGAGTCCCTTCTGCTTTGAAAGGTAAAACACTCCCGGGTTCCAGGGATTTGGACGGTGACAATTTTGGGGTCATTATTTTGCCTGACATACCGGACATGGCATTTGCTTCTTCCCCTCAACTCTGACTGTCCTGCACTTGGTGGCTTGGATGACCTATGGAAGCTGCTCTGCCCAGCTGAAGGTGTGACTTCGGTCCAGGTGTGGAGGGTGGGTGGGCTGAGACGTGGGAAGGTTAAGGAGATATGGCCAATTCATCGCCACTTGCTCAACCACAGGATAGCTATTACAGACCCACCAGCAAGGAAAGGTCTGTTTGATTTTCACATGAAGAAAAAAAAAAAAACAGTTCCCTTTATCCCACAACTGTTTCCAATTTTGATATCCTAAGGTTGATTACAAAGAATGTGTGCAATTATGTTCCGTGTATACTGAGATGGAGGCCTAAAATGGAAGTGTATGGAAGGTCTGCCTGTGGGTCTGGGCTGCAGCTCAAATGCAAGGTGTTTGGCCGCATTACTAGATTTCACCTGACAGCTTGCCTTGGCTGTTCTTTCATTTACTCTTTCAGCGTTCCTGTTGGCATTAGGTGCAATGATAAGCCTTTCGGGTGTATAATTTTAACTTAGAATTCATGTGCTAGACGGGGGCTTGATCCTTGGCCTCTTGTTCACACACACAGTCTGAGTCTTCGGGAGGTGACAAATATTGACTCTCAGACTCTTTCCTGGCAGATGAGCGAAATCTCTGCTTTGAAGACAATTTTGTTTGACATCTTAGGGATTAACCCAAGGCTAATATTTGTCCTCTGCTCCAGTCATGCATTTGGCTGTGTGGTCTTGGGAAAGTCACATACCTCTCTGACTCCGTCTCAAAAGCTGTCTATTCCTGGTGGCGTGTGATGAGGGTGGTAGGCATGCTGTGGTTGCTGCAGATGAACGTGATTGTAGGTTATGGGCCCTGCAGGTGGGGGATGGGAGAGGGTGCTTGCCCAGTTCCCTGGTGGCTGAGACTTCTGTTGGGCCTGGACCAGAGGTAGGAACTCAGCCAGTGCAAAGTGAAGTTATGGAGGAGCAGAAAGCAAGAGGCTGGCAGAGGATGCTGGTCTGCTGAGAGATCAGAATGGCCAGGCAGAGAGGTGTAGAGATGCAGGCAGAGTTGGGGAGGGGATGGCCAATGACTGGTCAGTCCTGTGAACACTCTGCTTTCCATACACTCCCTTCACCTGGGCTACCTGGAGTAGTTTTCTGTTCCTTGTACCCAAAACATCTTTGAGTAGTAGACTGAGGAGTCAAGATGTGTTGCATTTTGTAAATCAGACCATTTTTATATGTCTTATATTTTTATTTCTTTAACTCTTTTTCCGGTTAATATTAGTGTTATTATTAGAAGTTAAAAGACTTCTAAATTTGTCTTTCAAGTTCTGAATGTAAACGTCTAAATTCTGACTTGGCTCTCCTAAGTTAAACCAAGGGAAAGAATCTTCCAGGAAGCTGTGTGGACCAGCGGCAGTGGTAATGGAGGGGAGAAGAGAGGGAAGGAGCAGTTCGGAGCTCCGGAGCCCTCCTCCCTTGGCAGGTCCTTCTCAACCTGAGTCTCTTTTTCCAGTGCTAGTTCTTGATGGGCGGGTCATTTCTTCGTAGGGCCTCATTTCCTCACTACAACACACAGAGGCGGAATCAGGTGCTCTCTAAGGCCTCAGGCTGTGATTCCACGAGGGCAGGGATGATTTTAAGGGGAAGCAAAGAGAGTGTTAGAATCTGGTGAGAACCCAAATCACCAGGATGCCCTACTCCCTCCCTCTGTATGCACTCATGCACATGACGAGCATTGAAGAGGACCCCCGAGGAGAGGAAGCTGGGCAAGCGAAACCAACAGCAGTTTCTGCTGGACACGTGTCTCCCCCTCAGCCTCATCACGCCCTTCTCAGGCCGCCCTCTCATTTGCTTTGTTTCCCACGTTCCATGGACGGATGTATCACCTCTGTGCAACGCCTCAATCCATCATCGATCACCCTACCTCCTTGCGACCCCAAGGCTGGAAGCAAGGGAGCGGCAGCTATCTGGCCGGTTAGTCCCACATTCATTTACTGAATGTCTTCTGAATACAGAGCCGGTCACTGAATTACAGGATGCCAGGGCTGGCAGAGCCCTAATAAATCATCTGGACTGACCCTCGTGCTACACAGACGGCAGCACTCACAAGGAGAGGTTAAGTGACTGGCTTAAGATCACACAGAGGAGCTAAGGCCCGAATTCAGATCACCTGTCAGTGCTTCATTGTTCCTTCCACTCCACCCTGGTGCTGGGGGAGGGTGAAGATGATGGATTAGTTTATGTGAGCATGAAACAGTGGAAAACACACGCATTTCCCTACGTGCTCCAAACTAATAAGAACCCTGGGAAAAAGGCAGACAGCAAGGGATTTTTTAGAAAGTGAGACTGAAAAGCACGAGAGTAAACTCTTGCTCGTGAATGATCACATTAGGAATATGTGGGGGAGAATGTTTTGGGGGAAGGCGTCTTTATTTTTCCTCCTTCCCTGCTACGCTGTTCTCTAATCCATGTTCTCATCAGCAACACTATTCTCATGCCATTTTTCTTTTCCCTGACATATTTATCACCTTATTTTTATATTATACTGTAAACCCTGGTATATACAAGCTTTTAAAGCAGCTATTTTTAATGCAAGATAACACTCCAAGCTTTGAGTCCTCCAGTACAACTGACTAAGGACATTTAGCAGGAAAACACATTTCCTCCCTAGCAAAACCTGCCATCCAGCGGCTGTCTGTAAAATGTAATACAGGAACGAAAATCGGTTGGCATTTTGAAACCAGGAATACCCTCCAAAATCCCACTTTTCTTATTTCAACTCAAAAACTTCAGGATAGATCACCTGACATTGAGAGGTGACGTCTGCAGCAACTGGTTATTTTTATGTAGTTGAATCTGACTACATACAAATGCCAGTTAACTCATCTACTAATTTTCCCTGACAGGAATAGAAGGTAGTGCTAAATGTGTTATTGGAATTAAGTTCTAAAAATACAAATGTTGTAGGCTCTTGTGAAAATAAAGCATTTTTATTTATTTCTCTTGACAACTCAAAAATAACTACTCTAGTGTCTCTGATAGAATAAACGCTGGTTAAAATGCTGCCTTTGGGAAAGCTGTGATGGCACTGGAGACCCAGCGGGTGTTGCCAGGCATGAATCGTTTTTCTTTTCAGGAGGGTAAGTGAGCTGTGACCGCACCTTCTGAGCAACAGGCACCAAAGTTTATGATGCTTTCCGTCTCCATCGCCCCCTCCACACCCAATGGTCCTTTGTAGAAGGTGTGACAACCATCCTGCCCTCAATGATTCTTGATCAAAAGACCACCTATTAAGATGTATGTATAGGGCCGGGCACGGTGACTCACACCTGTAATCTCAGCACTTTGGGAGGCCGAGGTGAGCGAATCACCTGAGGTCAGGAGTTCAAGACCAGCCTGGCCAACATGGTGAAACCCCATCTCTACTAAAAATAAAAAATTAGCTGGTGTGGTGGCGCATGCCTGTAATCTCAGCTACTCGGGAGGCTGATGCAGAAGAATTGCTTGAACCCAGGAGGCAGAGGTTGCAGTGAGCCAAGATCACACCATTGCTCTCCAGACTGGGCAACAGAGTGAGACTTTGTCTCAAAAAAAAAAAAAAAAAAAAAAAAAGTATGCATAAATGTAAGATTATGCACGCTTGTTCTTTTGATTGTTTATTATCAACTTCTGTATATCAGTGAGAAACCTATTCATACCTGAAATCAGAGTGATACTTTACTGCCAAATAAGAGCAAAGATTGAGGCTGGATGTCAGCATGAGCCTTTGATTTCTACCCTAAGTCAGATAATAGAACAGGTTGGGAAAAGTCACGTAGGTACTCAGTCGACTGTGAGGGCGCTCTCTCTTCCTACCCATTCTTCCTCATTACTTTGTGAGTTTTTCTAGCACCAGGGCAGGGGCCTGAGGTTATATGGAGAAAGAGAACATACAACCTAGAGCACCATGTTTTCTAGGCGTCTAACCTATAGGTGGATAGGTTGTAGCACAGGGTGCAGTCCCGCAAACAAATGCCCTAATAGTCGGGGTTGAAAGGAGGTCCAAACTTCTTGATCCACAGATGAGGAAACTGATGATCAGAGAGGTGAAGGCCTGGCCCAAGGCCACACAGCTTGTTAGTGGCTAAGTTAGCACTCGTGCCCATATCTCCTATTTTCCAGACAAATAAATACTCTTGAGTGCAAATGCCATCTACTTACAAATGTTTCTTAATCTGTCCTTTCCTTCAGGAAGTCTCAGATTTCTTAAATGGCATCTGGATTGCTTCAGTTTTTTCATTTACATTTGCATTAGAGAAGAGAACAAATCTGTGTTCAAGGACGTGCTGGTAATATTTGCGGCATAAAATTAAGCACATGGCATGACTTCCTTTCCGGATTCAGAACATTAACTGCACTTACCCGTACTGGACAACACCCATCAGTGGACCGGCAGGGCCAATGTCAAGAGCTTGGGCAACATCAGCCAGGAGCTGCTTCTGGATTCGGAATCGCCGTTTACCAATGCTGGCACTCCCATCAATTAAAAAGGACAAGTCAACTTTGCAGTCTGCGGAATGGAAAAAGACTCTGTTATTCTGATGCTCTCTCATTGCATTTACTTGGGCACCCACTTGTTCCTCTGTCTCCAGTAGAGTCCCCCTGAGAAATGAAAAGAAAGTGAAAAAGAGGTAGTAAGATACAGGGTATATTTATTTATTTATGTCCCAGAGGGGTTTCCCTGAGCACCAAGGACTTGGAGACTTGGGTTAGTCCTTATTTCCATAACTGTTTAAAACTCTATGTATCCACCACAATTATGGGTTTCAGAAGCAGTGACGTCCCAGCCAAGCTTGGGAAGGCTGTCAAAGGTTTCCTAGGCTCAGATTTTGTAAGTGCAGACTTTCAGTTGTGAGAATTCACTAAGACTGAGTCTCAAGAGCTTGTGGCTTTTAACTTTCATCCTAATTCTTTAGAAATAAGTGTTGGATTTTTATTAGATGTGAAAGATCTGCAAGGCCAGCACTGAAGGGAGGGTAGTAATTGTAGAATAAGAAATTGATATCAATCTTCAGCATTTCCCTGGGCAAGGCAACCAAAGAAATTGTCCACATATACGTATAGGATGTCAGCCCTTGTTCATAGCTATCTTAGATTTTTTCCCTTTTTTTTTCTTTTAGTTGTGATGAAGACTAGGATAGTTATTCTGACTTAGGATCTCTGGATCTCTGTGGATATATGAAGGTTATAAGAGAGGTAAAGCGGTGGACAGGCTATAAGCTCTTTTCACCCTCTCAAAACACCAAAAGAAACTAGGGAAAAGCCACACAGGCAAACAGAAATTAGTGTTTTCTTTGCTGTAGAGAGGAATATCATCTCAGTATGATAAAACTGACTATTCAGTGTTCATCAGAGGTTCTTATTGGGAGCTTTAGATCCCTTTGATTAGTACAAAGTGAAAAATAAATTATTTAACAGTTGCAATTTAGAAGACAAAAATTTTCAAAATAGAGTTCCATAGAGAAAAAAAAAAGACAATAAAGTTGGAAATTTCTAGGCTGGTGTATCCAAGAGGACACTGGGGCCAGCACTGCCCATTGTGGGTGGGGGGCAGTGGCCAGGCAGGCCTGCACTTCTCTAATCTGCACACGACCACCCATGTCCTCTACGGTGCATTGTTGCCACGGGCTGGGGTCTTTCCATTCTTCAGGAGGAGAAGCTCTGTAGGTGGAGAGGGTTGCTGTCGATTTAAAAAAAAATCTGTTTAAAAATGAAAGCAATAAATGAACATGAGTTGATAAAGTTTTGGACAGAAAAACTGATGAGAAATCTTTATTGCTGAGTGCTACTACAGAATTGTGATGAGGAGAAAAGTGATACCCGGGAATGTGTTTTATTATCGTGCAGCGTTACATTGGCAATCAAAACCAGGGAAGTAGGAGACGAGAGGGACTCGTCTGGGACTGGCTGACTTCGCTCCGTCTAGAATCAGGATGTACCTTGGCTCAGCAGCAAATCTCAAAAGAAAAGCTTTACCTCCTGTCTGCCTGGGTGTTCAGTGCCTACCTTTCAACTGGCTTCTTTTGTCCTTTGCTGCCCCCAAACTGCCTATACCCAAGCATGATCTTGAGACGAAGACTGAAAGAGGCAAATAAAATCCAGAAGCAGAGTTTAAAGATGCCACTAAAACCTGGGGTAAAGCAGAGAAGAAGCAGAACTGCTGCACAGCTTGTCATGTTGTTGATCCCCAAGCAAGGGAGGCCAGCTTATTTTTTTCCTGACTGGGCTTGCAGTGTGAATTGTTGCCAGCAGGTGGCAGTGGAGTTCTTTAGGGCTTGCCGCCCACTGGCACCTACGGTTTGCTCTCAGGCTCCACCCAAACCTATAGAATCAGACCTGCATTTTAACAAGATCCCCAGGTGATTCCTGTGCCAGTAAAGTTTGAGAAGTACTCCTGAGGCGGGGTTTCCCTTCCAGATGTCAGCAGATTAGTTCAATTTGCCTTTTGGAGTAAAGTCTTTTTGGGGAACACTTGTTAATTAGAGTAAGGGCCAAAGGGGATTTTCTCTTAGCATGAATAAAACACGTGGATATTGTAGCGTCTATTTTGGCTCCTCACAGGCAGTTTTTCCTCCTTGTTTTTTACATCTTAACTGTCTTCAGGATTAACAGGTTCGTCTCATAGTTAGGTCTTAAAAAGGTGAGCTGTTTCTCTATTTGCTTAATTCTCGTTACTCACTAGCCTGATGGCTGATACCAGGATACCCCTGCTCCTCTTTTAAATGACAATGGTTGCAGCTCAGGGCATGTTTCAAGGCATGTTTTAACTGAGACCTGTGGCTTTCTCATATGGAGATGAAAACATTCTAAGCTGAAGATGCCAACATCAACGCCAACAGGTAGAATTGGGTTATACGACGTTCAGCCTGAGCAATTTATTATGGATAAAGAAGAGGTCAGAGGTTGAAAGACAAGAGAAAGTAAGATATGGTATCTATGGGAATCAATCTACCAATTTATTTAATTGCTCTAGTTTCCTTCAACATGGAACAATTTTATAGATTAATGATTTGTGTTGTCCAAAACATCAGGCCAGTGTTTCTTAACCCTGGATACATACCAGAGTAATATACATAACTCGGTTGCTTATGGAGCTTCAACAAATAAAGACTCCTGGGATTCACTCTGGACAGTGCTTCTCAAGGGTAAATGTGCAAAGGAATCAATCACTTGTAGGTATCACCTGTAGAACCAGCAGGTCTGGGGTGGAGCCTGAGATTCTGCGTTTCTAACAAGCTCCCTGGTGATGCTGATGATGCTGGTCTCCAGACCACTTTGGGTAGCAAGGTCTAGGGAGAACCTGATACAGTAGGTATGAGGCAGCAAGATAGGCATCTTTAATTTTAAAAGTGTCCTCAGGTGATTCTCATATGAAGCAAGGTTGAGCCTCACTGTCCATTGGTGGCTGACTAGCAGTAACTTCTGAGAGGAATTTGCAGGTGCTTTCTTTCCTTGCAGGCTGCTACTATATCTTTCCCATTTTCCTTGTTTTCTTCTCTGGTACCTCCTTTCTGATATCCTCAGGTGGCTTCTCCTCCACCTAGTGTGGTTCTTCAGGTTTAACTCTTCTATTTCTTTTGACTCTCTCTCCCTAAGTCACATTATCTGTTCTCACAGCTTGGCTTCGAACCATAGCTCATCGTCTTACAACTCTAAATTTCTGATTGGGCTGTTTCAGATCTGGGTAGTCTTCTCTCCACCAGATCAAATGTCTTGAAGAAGATGACAGACATAAACCTGCTCCATCCCCAGTGTTCCTCACTGTAGTATCATTTACCTAGTTGCTCAACTCACCTTCAACTCCTCCCTTTCTCTTGCCTCCACCTTCAATCCTATAGATCTTTCCTTCTCTGCATCTCTTGAATCTGCCCATTTATCTTCATTTCCACTTCAAACTCCAAGCTCTGGCCACCATCATTTGCACTAGACGCTTGCCCCTACTGACCTGCCCATCTCCTCCTTTCATCCATCCTTGTCTTTCCATTCCATCCCATTCTTCACCCTGTTGCCATAGTGATGTTAAAAATGTTTGATCCTCTCCCCCTCATGGATATAGACAGTTCATATCCTTCAAAAGCTTCTCTTTCCCCTTAGAACAAGGTGTCAGAAGAGAGGAAATAAATAGATCCATGGTAAGAGAGAGGCAGGTTTGAGTGGGCGTGAGTGGGAAGAGAGGAGAGAGGAGTTCAGATGTCAAAGACATCGTGGGTTTCTAGTTGTCAATTAACTTACTTGGATCTCCCAGGGATACTGGCTCCAAAGACTGTGTGCTCAATTCTTCTTTTGGAACAAATCCTGGAAACAGCAGTAAAACTTTTGGTGACTTACAAGCACAGGAAGCAGCTGGCCTTACCCCAGGGAAGGAGACATAAAGGATATTCACATCCAGCTTGGGGACTTGGCTTAAAGCTAACTGTGCTCTTGCTTACATTACCCCCATCCTGAGAAAAATAATAAATTAATATTTACTTACAGCCTATTAAAAACATAGTACTCTGCTAGGGGATTTGAAATCAGAAGACTTGAGTTCGGCTCCTGTTAATTTATTCTTTATTCTGAGCCTTAGTTTTCTTATCTGAAAGCGTTAAGCACTTTGCCATCATCAATTATGCCTCTGCAAAATTCTCAAAATCTTGAGGCCACAGGATGCGTCTTGCTCGAATAAACCCGTAACCGTGCCAAGGTCCTGTAGGTCCTCAGTCAACATTTGGTGATTGAGACAATGAAGGAAGATGAGTAAGGCACAGGAGGACAAGCTAATGAGGACTGGATATGGACTGGAGGAAGATCGCTTTTTAAAAAGCAACTCAAATAAGAGGGCTTATAATGCAACTCCTCCCTTCCAGCTGTTTGAGACTAGAAGTAGAGGCACAAAAACGTTTCATGCTCTCAGAAGCTGTCTTTGTGAGTTGCGTTTCAGCCTTGGGGAAGGGGGGTGTCTTTAGAACCATTTATGTGGGAGCCAAGTTCATAAATATACCATTTAAAGAAATAAAGACAATAAAAGCGAATCCCTTTATGGCCTGGTAAGACGAACGGTCTTCCCAGGCAGAGCGCACTTGCAGTGCCGGAAGTGAGTCTCCCCATTTTTAGGGCGCCCGGAAGTTCCGGCATTCCCCGGGAGCGGCGGAAGGTGCTGGGGCCTGTGCTCGTGCCTGGCTGCGGTGAGTTTTCTCCTGCCTCGTTATTTTTTCCAGTTTGCAAAGCACATGATTTCATCCTTCCATTAAAGGTCAGCTAGCTCATCCCACTTCCTCACATCATTTTAAACATTCACTTTGGGTGCCTAACAGCGTTTCCCAGCCAGGAGCCTGTCCCGGAAACGCCCCAAGGCTCGGCGTCGGAGGAAGGGGAGAAATACGAGTCCAGAGGCGGAGTCCTCTCCTTCGCCTCCTTCCCCTGCCAGTAAAACCTTCCCTCCCACGAAGAGCTGGAAGGTCGTGTTTGTTGGAGTTTCAAACGTGTAATGCAGCAGACAGCGAACAACGCCCATTCTTGTGAAGGGAAAAGCTGAGCGCCATTTTGCAAAAAAGGAAGTGGAGATGGAGGAAGTTAAAAGTGTGCTGCCAGATGGAGCGAGGGTCCAAAAGCCATTCTGAGGGTGGGAAACTAGCTCCCTTCTGGCTTTTTGTCTTCACGTTTCCTTTCTCCCTGTTGTTACCCACTGTTGCTCCTTACCCCGGCCTTCCTAGGGAGGGAGTTTCAATGGCCCTTTGCAGGACCCTTAAGTCAGAGGCGGGAGCCACTAGAAATCCTACGCTGGCCCAGCTCCGCCACTCTGCCACCAGCTGGATTATTGGACTCTCAGTTCTGTTATCCTGTGCGTCTTAATCCAGGCATGGCCAAGAGGTTGGGCTGTATAATTACCTTCATCTAAAAGGACCGATCCAGGTTTCAGTAAGTCCGTTTCTCCTGATTTTCAAAATTGAAAAGAAACAACCTTGTTACTTAAACCAAATCAGAAACTCTCGAGTGAATTGCCGGGATGATAAGGTTTTCTAGTTGTGTCCAAAAGTTCAATAAAGGAACAGAGGGCCAGAATTTTGGATGAAGCAACCTGAAATCTGTATGATTTTTTTCATAAACGTCTTTACCAGTTTCTCTTTCATTATGCACCAAGAATCTTGGAATAATAGGAATCCTGGGATTCAAAAGGAACTAAAAGTTCGTCCATTCCCAACCACCTCCCAGCCTGTTTTTACGACATCCCTGCCTGTGAGTGGCTGGCTAGTGCTTGAATACCTCCAGAGACGGGTTCCTTACATATTCAACCAAAGTAGTAGGTTCCTTCTTGCATTATTGAGACTGAATCTTTTGCCCTAAATCCTTTCCCATCTATTAATACATCCACACTTATTAAGCACTCACTATGTGCTTAATCTCGTTCTAGGTACATTTGTCCCTCCTGTTCGAATTCTCTTCCTTGGACTACACAGAACAAATATGGCCCCTTCCGGGAACAGGCAATACACTTATTTACTGAGATTCTTCTTCTCACTGTGTGACTCAAGCAGAATAAAGGAAAGTAGCACCTGGGTCTATATGCAGTTAGATGTTTAATGGCCTTCACCACAAACGGGTGCTGATAAAGTAGAAGGGGTAGAGGGGAGGGGAGAGTCTTACCCAATAATCTCTGATCTTTTTGGGAAAATCATGGCTGAGAGGGGCTCAGGGGCAGCACAGATGTGTCAGGAAGCCTCATAACACAGAAATGGCTGCTTCCCTTTCTTTCTGCCTCTCTCCCTCCTCCCCTCTGTTTTCCATGTCCCCCCCCCCCCCGTTTCTTCCTTGTTCATCTTAGCTCAGAAGGTTGAGAGCATGATCAACTGTTTTATTTCTTAAAGGCTCTCAGCTTCTCTGCCAGCTGAAATTACTAACACACTGAAAAAAGGTGATCTTTTTCTTTATGTGATAAAGATGGCAGGCAGTGTTGAAAGGCATTCCGTCCTTGCACATTCTGGTTTAATGGTGAGACCTGAGTTTAGTTCACTCATTAACCAGATGTGTGACCTTGAGCTAGTCACATACCCTTTGTGAACCGTAATTTCTTTGTAAGTAACAGAAGCAGATTGAGCAAGATAGTCACCACATTCAAAATATTTATGACAGGCTTAAACATTTCTGCTTAAGAACGCTCTGCTTCTTTAGCCCTATTGCTTTATCGCCACCTACTGGTGAAAATATGCACTTTACCCTTTTCATAAAAAAAATGTGCTGGTGGCTTCTCTCCGTTTTTGCCCAAGGGTTTCTTTTCTTTTTTCTTTTTCCGATGCACCCTTGAATGTCAGGAAGATTAGAATACTGGGTGCTCTATTACTTTATCAGGAGATAAACAGTCCTCCAACATCAGGGATTTCCAAGCCTCTTGCTCCTGTCCTGGAAGCCTGTCCTTCTATTAATGCCACTTTTATTTTGTTTGGGACAAGTTTGAACCAAATTACATGCATCCAAAAGCCAAAGGCTGAAAAATATTTGGACAGCTGAGACTTGGTGTGTTTTGGACTCAGTAGTACTGAGAAGTAAATTTGTGAGAACGTTTATATTCAGGCATCAAGGAGGAACAGGGTGGCATCAGGAAGAAAGACGCCAGGAGCCTATCCTGGGTCTACCAAAGACCAGCTGGGGGCCTGGGTAGGGCTCACTTACCTTCTTTCCAGTTTGCCTCCAGTTTTACCCAGTGTAGGGCTGAGGTCATAAAGACCTTCCCTGCACTGTCACATGGAGGAGACTCGAAAGAGGTAAACGTGTTCAGAAGTGCTCTGAAAAGTGTAAGTCACTCTTAGAAAACCAGGGAATTATTTTTATGTTTCTGTGACAATTCTTGCTTGGTCATCTCATAGATCCAGTCATGTCTAAAGGAAGTGTTGGTTCTGATACTGCATATTCTCACTTACAAGTGGGAACTGAATGATGAGAACACGCAGACACATGGTGGGGAACAGCACACACTGGGGCCTGTTGGAGGGTTGGGAGGTGGGGGGAGGGAGAGCATCAGGAAGAATAGCTAATGGATGCTGGGTTTAATACCTAGGTGATGGGTTGATCGGTGTGGCAAACCATCATGGCACACATTTACTTAATGTAACAAACCTGCACATTTGGCACCTGTATTCTGAACTTAAAATACAAGTTGGAAATTAAAAAAAAAAAAGATGTATTGGTTCTGAACGATTTCTGGGGTAAAAATGTAGAAGCCATTGGTGTTTATGGAGAGTTTGCTTAGTGTTAGGTACTGAGTGAGCACTTCCTACCTATTAAGTCACAGTCATCCTGTGAGTTAGGTGCGACTATGATCTCGTTTTACAGGTGAGAAAACTCATGCATATGGAGTGGCAGAACAGAACTTTAAGCCCAGGCAGGCAGGCTCCAAAGCCTACACCTAACCACCATCTGCTTATCACACACCAGAAGGAGTCGTCATCGCATTAGAATCTCAGGGTGCTTGGTTAGGCCACTGAAGAGCTCGGCCTGACCCAGCTACCTGCAACTCATGCTAATGTATTCAAGTCTTCCAAAGGGCCCAGAAGCATGGTATGATCTTGGTGCCAGTTCCAGCTCCTTCTGTACACCTAGAAGTCACCAACACAGGAGCCAAGAAGGAGCTGCAACACATGGCACTTAGGGCGCTCACGTTTTATTAGACAGAAGCCCATGTGGCCCTTCAGCTCCCTGGTTTCTTCCCAGTGACTCCCCTAGGGTGTAGGTTTTAGGAGGAAGTGGCTCTGAAAGGCAGCAGGTCTCTGGAGCCAGCGGAATCTCTAGGCGTCCCTTCCCTTCACCTGGCTTCATGTCCCAAGGGCTGCACTTTCCCTGGAGAGCTGCTTCTTGCTGTACTGAAGTCAGGGGCACTAAGAGGGTGAGGTGCAGCAGCTGTACCCAGGGTGTCACCATGCTGGCAGCACACTGCCCAAGGACTCTCAGAGAAGGCTGAGGGCAGTCTGGGGTCCTGGGCATGAGCCATCATGCCAACGAAGCATTGACAGTCCCAGGTTTAGAAATGAGTTACCATCTAAGCCTTTTCTCTTGGAAACAACTTAACTCCATGATTCGGTTTCCAGACTAGTGAAACTTCTTTGACTCAAACATAGCTCATGGTACCATGAAGACAACCAGCATAAGGATGGTTCCAAGGAAAAGCTACTGGGTTTTAACTTGAATTATCAGGAGCCCGCCACCCCTGCCTCCTCTAAGAATACAGCAGGAGTGGCCTGCCCCAACTCCGAGAACCCTGGTAGGAGGGGTAAGGGCTGGCCATGGGGGACCCAGTGTGTAGGAGGCAGTGGCATTGCTGATGACTCTGGAGGGGGAGAGTGTGGGACCTGGGAAGGCAAAAGCCCCAGCAGCATAATTCTAGAATTTGAAAATATTTGATTCATGCTTGTAGTTCTAATGCATAGCACAGTGTCTGACCTAAAGTAGGCTCGATAAATGTTTTTAAAAATTAAACAGCAGGTCCCTTTTAGTGAGAGCTTCAGCTTAAATTGGGGGTTCGTCAATTTACATCTGTGGCAAAAGGCATAGTGGGAGAGGGTGGCAGGAATCACTCATGGGTCGTATGCCTGGTGTCCTGTAGAAAGGAGGATGAGGGCATCGTCAGGTCCACATGTAGCTGCTTACATCTGGGTTGATCTAAACACAAAGGTGGTGTTCAGTGGCAATCGCAGGATTTGGATGCCCCACGCGATATGTTTTTATCAGTAACGGGAATGGAGAGAGGTGGCGTGTTTATCCATTCTGGAGATGACACAAAGACTAGAAGGATGTTAACACATTAAATGACAGAACTAATAGGAAGATTGCAGCCAGCTAAACAAAGGAAGGATTTAATAGAGATATGTGATTTTCCAACTTGAGCTTCCAAAACTCAATTGTTCCTAGATGGGATTGGGGTGACCTGCTTCTACAGAGGTGTATGATAAAAAAAATCGTAGTGACTTTAGGTAGTGCAAGCTCAGTAGATGAGCCAACAGTGAGACAAGGCTTACTGCAGATGGAACTTGGGATGTTTTAGTGGGAGCAGAGTATTTAGGACTAGAGAGGCAATTGACTGGCACACGCCTCTGGCAGCATCGTGTTCTGCGCAGGGTGCCCTGGTGTATGAATTAGTAATGGTCTATGGTGTAGTTAGAGGGTGTGCTGCCAGGTCATGGAAACACCTATTGGAGGGATGAAAGAAATATCCTGGGAAAGATGAGATATAAAAAAGAACATGAAGTCTCACTGCATGTATTTGAAAGGCTCTCAAATTGGAGATATTCCCAAAGATTGTCAGCCGCTTTATGCTCTCAAAAATAACATTAAAGACCCCAAAGACCTTCAGTTTGTATGAGTTATACCTATTAATGTTTATCATTTACAGATTACAACTGTGCATTTTCTCATTTAAAACAGAGTACTAACTGGCAATTTATTTAAATATTAATTTACTTTATTTTTACTTTTTAATTAAATTATTATTATTATTTTTTTTGACAGAGTCTCGCTCTGTCACCAGGCTGGAGTGCAGTGGCATGATCTCAGCTCATTGCAACCTCCGCCTCCTGGGTTCAAGCAATTCTCCTGCCTCAGCCTCCCTAGTAGCTTGGACTACAGGTGCACACCACCATGCCCAGCTACTTTTTGTATTTTTAGTAGAGATGGGGTTTCACCATGTTGGCCAGGATGGTCTTGATCTCTTGACCTTATGATCTGCCCGCCTTAGCCTCCCGAAGTGCTGGGATTACAGGCATGAGCCACCGTTCCCAGCCAAAATAACTGTTTTCTAAAACCAGGAGTTGAGTGAGAAGAGTGGCAGATGTCTCCAATGTCTATCATAATAGAATCTGTTATCAGCTCCTGCAGTCAGTTGTGATATGTTGTTTTGCTGAAATACATGGAGAAAATCTGTCCTCACAAAGACATGTAGTCAGAGATGGGAAGACATCACAGTATCCCTGAAAGCAGGGTCTTTGGACCACACTTTGAGAACCACTGGTTTGGACATTAGGGACAAGGAGCTGAAGTTCTGGACAGTTACATCTAACAGTGCCACCCACCAAATGAAGGGGCTGGGAATTCCCTGCCACTTGAAGTTATTCCATACAGGGTAAAAGCCTCTGTCTGGCACACCACAAGTGATTCATTTTTAGGTGAGAAGTTAGACCAGATATACTTTATACAATTCTTTCCAGTTCCATAATCTGACAATTTTATAGCTGAGGAACTGGGCAGCCTGCCTGGTAGACATCACTGCATCTGAGATGAGAGTTGGTGGAAGGATGTCTGAGACCTCCAGATGCTCTTACCTGCCTTCACTCAGGGTGTGCAAATGGCTCCCTCCCCCTGCAGGAGCCATAGTGGGCTTCATATCTAGTCTAGGTCTGAGCACCTAGAGCAGGCGTCCCCAAACTTTTTACACAGGGGGCCAATTCACTGTCCCTTAGACCGTTGGAGGGCCGCCACATACTGTGCTCCTCTCACTGACCACCAATGAAAGAGGTGCCCCTTCCTGAAGTGCGGCGGGGGGCCGGATAAATGGCCTCAGGGGGCCACGTGCGGCCCGCGGGCCGTAGTTTGGGGACGCCTGACCTAGAGGGTGCTAGGAGAGTCCTGTATGTCAGGAGCACACTGAGAGTTCATGGGAGGCTCTGAGGTGCTCAGAGAAAAGTTGCAGGGATGATGGTGACGAGAGAAGCAGCAGAAATTGGGTAGGATTTAAAGGTAAAAAGGAAGCTAGGGGCTGGGCACAGTGACTCACGTCTGTAATCCCAGCACTTTGGGAGGCCAAGGCAGGCAGACCACCAGCTCAAGGGATGGAGACCATCCTGGCCAACATGGTGAATCCCTGTTTCTACTTAAAAATACAAAAATTAGCCGGATGTGGTGGTGCATGCCTGTAGTCCCAGCTACTCAGGAGGCTGAGGCAAGAGAATTGCTTGAACCCAGGAAGCGGAGGTTGCAGTGAGCTGAGGTCATGCCACTGCACGCACTCCAGCCTCGAGACAGAGTGAGATTCCATCAGAAAAAAAAAAAAAAAAAAAAAAAAAAAAAAAAAAAAAAGAGGCTCGGAACATCTGTGTGGGTCAAGACAGAGTGGAATTACTGGGAACATGAAGGAGAATGAAGAAGAAACAGAAAGTCCCAGAGCTATAGAACTGGAGGACGGTAACCTTAAAAAAAAGGGAATGAGGCCAAATGCATTCAGCAGAATACAACCTTGAAACAAACCAAACATTGTCACGCAGTAAAAAATCAAAGATGCAAATCAGATAATGTGCATCCTTGCCAACCATCCCCCTTACTGTGTCCAAATCACAGGCTGTGTCTGGGTGTCTGTGCTGTATCCTGGAGGCCAGTCTGAGGATAGGCTTGGCAGGTGCATAGGCTGCTTAGTGGGGGAACCTCTTGAAGGGACGTAAAGTAATGACAGCCCTTGGGTGTCTTTGTTGACAGAGATTTTCTCTTTGATGCACTGAAAACAGATCAATCAAAGAGCTACTTTCTTGAGGTTAAAATGTCTTAGCATGCTCCTAAACTCTGGTGACCTGAAGTTGAGCTGCAGAGGCCAAGAGCAAGTGTGTGGGGCGGCCCTTGTGTTTGCAAAGTGCCACAGAGCAAATTCCCAGGGAGCAGGGACGGTAAGCAGCTGGCAGCTTACCCAGGCTGGCATCTGCTCCACCAGGTTTCTGGAAGGCAGCTCCTGAAGGATCTTGCCTTTGGATACCCAAGGGGATTATACAGGGTCAGCTGACTTACACACAGCCAGCAGGTGCTTTCTTTCCTTATTTTGCCTCTGGTGAAAATTTCATGAGTTCAGATTTTCCTTGGAAGTCATCCGAGCTCTCTGTGCCTGGCTGTACTTTTGGGGGTTGCAGAGGAGGCAAAAATCTTGGCCAAGGGGACAAGAGGAAACAGTGCCCCATGGCTTGGCCTCCTGAAGAGTCCCACGAGTCTGTTGAGGCCTAAGATGGTCTCGGAGTCCTTGCCCTGGGAGTCTTAAGCCTTTTTGTCCACGACAACAGCACGTGCATTGGCAAAGGTGCAATTGTGAAGCTCACAGAAGCTGCCCGCCCCGACCAGGGGAGCCCAATGGGGCCGCTGTTCCTATCCAGTAGCAAGCAAAGCAGAACCCACAGTTTCTTTCTTTCTTTCTTTCTTTTTTTTTTTTTTTGAGATGGTGTCTTGCTCTGTCACCCGAGTGCAGTGATATGATCTCAGCTCACTGTAACCTCCACCTTTTGGGTTCAAGCAATTCCCTGCCTTAGCCTCCTGAGTAGCTGGGACTACAGGTGCCCACCACCATGCCCAGCTAATTTTCATATTTTTAGTAGAGATGGGGTTTCACCATGTTGGCCAGGCTGGTCTTGAACGCCTGACCTCATGATCCACTCGCCTTGGCCTCCCAGAGTGCTGGAATTATAGGCGTGATCCACCGCCAGGCCCAGAACCCACAGTTTCTAAGAACATATGGAGGGTGGACGAGTATCCCCCAGTAGGGGGAAGACCAGAACACCCCTGCACTGCAGATCCTGGCTTCTGATCCCAGTGCCGTGTGGCTTCAGAGGGAATGGTATACTTCCATCAAGTCTATCAGCTAGCTCATGGACCGGGCTGTGGGTAGAGTTTGTGGAAACCATCAAACCCTGCTAGATTTTTTTCCTTTCTTATCTGCAGGCCTTCTCAGTGCCGCAGAGAGGAGAATTTACTGAATTCCTAGTTCTTCAGTCAAACTGTTAAGGGGCATACAGAAATGAAGAACGCCAGGGGCATCTCAGAATTCATAGGTGAACTCCTGGGGAAGAGGGTGTGTTTCTCTATCCCTGGTGGCATAGAATTACTCAGGCAAAAAAGAGAAAAAAAGGCTCTTTCCTGGGAGACGATATAAATTGCCCTCACTGTTTTACCTTAGTTCCTCAAGAGTAAGCCCTGGAGAGCATCCTTTTTCAGGTCTCTAAGAGCGGGTTATTGAATCCTGAGACATCTCTATGGCAGCCTCTACAACATGGCTTCCGGGGAATGGAGAGTGCGTAAGGGCTGTGCTTACTTGCATGTTTTCTTACAAGTCAGGCCCTTGAGCCGTATCTTCTGTTTGCCTAAGTGGTTTTATAGTCTTTGTCCAAATCTAAATTTAAATGGCAAAGATGTGGAAAGAGGAACCCCATGTAAACAAGCTTAACTTTCATCAGTGGCTGGAAAAAGAGATCAGGGTCTCACCTGGTTTGGCTCCGGGCCTGTTTTGGCTGCTTGTATAGGTGATAGTGGACCAGAGAGCTGTAAGAACATTTGATTGGTCAGAGCATTAATTTTATTTATTTATTTATGAGTCAGAGCTCTATGCCCAGAGCTGGAGTACAGTAGCGTGATCTCATCTCACTGCAGCCTCTAGGTTCAAGTGATTCTCCTGCCTCAGCCTCCTGAGTAGCTGGGATTACAGGTGCATACCACCAGGCTCAGCTAATTTAAAAAAATTTTTTAGTGGAGATGAGGTTTCACCATGTTGGCCAGGCTGGTCTTGAACTCCTGACCTCAAGTGATGTGCTTACCTTGGCCTCCCAAAGCATAAGCCACTGTGCCCCGAATGGATTTTAATCTAACTGTTCTTATTCTTTCCATGATCCAACCTAGCAAGACATTACCGAGGTCGGAAACAAGTTGAAGCTCTATCTTTGGGCAGTCTGAACCTGCCTTGAAAGAGGCCTTCAGATGGAAAAAGAAAAAAAGGGATTTTAACTTAAAACACCAACTAAAAACTACAGGTAATAATAACCTTTGTATTTCACAATTATCAAAGTATCTTTTACTCAAATGTCGTATTTCTTTACACGTCATTATTCTTATAATAATTTTCAACTGTGCCACTCATGGGCAGGTTGAAGTAATCTTTCAGTAGAAATGTCACTTAACATTTAGCAATTTGCTTCAGCTGCGTTAACATGGTATTGATGCAAATAGCATTAGCTTTCCGTCATCTTTAGAGGTACACAATGGGTTATCCTTAATTACTATGTGAGAGAAGCAAACACATTTCAGCATTCATTATTTATTGAGCAGTTTCTCTAAAGCAAGATTTTAAAAGGGAGAAGGGAGACAGAGCGTTCTGTTAGAGAAATGCAAAGCCTTGGCGGAGGGGAAAGAGAGGCGTGTAAAATCCAGCTGAGGGAAAGAACCAAGTCTCATAGAGGGGAAGAGGCAAGAGGGCGTGGAAGAAAATATCAATTTCTCTTAGAAATGGATCTATCCAAAATCAGCTTTTGACCCTTTTTGTCTTTGTTTCAATTGTTTGACAAACTCGAAGTAGGGTGTTTTTTTGTTTTTTTTTTTACTTTTTATTTGTTTTTAAGGCTCTTTTCTGTCCCCCAGACTGCGGTACAGTGATGTGGTCATAGCTCACTGCAGCCTTAAACTCCTGGGCTCAAGTGATCCACCTGCCTCAGCCTCCTGAGTAGCTGGGACTACAGGTGCACATCACCATGCCCTGCTAAGTTTTTAAAATTTTTGTAGGACAGGGGTCTTGCTTTGTTGCCCAGGCTGGTCTTGAACTCCTGGCCTCAAGTGATCCTCTTGCTTGGCCTCCCAAAGTGTTAGAACTGGGGAGGGATGAGCCACCATGCCCATCCTCAAAGTAGCCTTATTTTCTGTTTAATTATACAGATAACATAGGCTTACTGTAAAAATAACATGACGTACTCTGCATAGTAAGCAATCACCTTTTATTCTATAGCCAGCAGTTACTGGTATACAATTTTGGCATACAGAGCTGTATCCCTTTTTCTGCGGGATGTGCATGCTCTCATGTCCAACACACAATTGCAAAAATGAGATTGGTTCCCTTGCTGTTTTGTAGGCTGCTTCTTTGACTGAATGATCTGCCCCAGATCTCATGTCACTAAGCGCACATATTTCTCGACATTTTACTAGCTGTATAGTAACTTCTTTAACTGTTCTTCTAGTGATAAACAATTAAATCATCTCCTTTAAAAAGTTATGAGCAGCATCTGTGTTCATGCTGCTTCTCACCCCTGGTTGATAATTACCTTAGGATATATTCCTGGAAGTGTGAATGCTGGGTCATTTCTCCACACTCTCACCCAAACTGTGTATTATCAATTTCCAATGCGAGTTGGCGAGAAATGGTGTTTTGTTGTTTAAATTGCACTTATTTGATTCTTGGTGGAGCCGAACATCTTTATAATTTTTTTTTTTTTTTTTTTTTTGACCATTTGTAGTTCTACTGTGGCTTGCCTGGCTGTGAACTTTCCCCATCTTTCTTTTGGAATATTTGTCTTTTTCTTACTATTCGTAAGACTGGATTTTAGGAAAAGCCTTCTCCAGATAAGGAAGATAAGCGTTCACTGGTGAGATGTGTTGATAAGAAGGGAAACTGTGGAAGGAATGGGCAGTGATAGATGCTGGCATCTTCCTGCCTCAAATTTCACTCTTCCTCCCCGTTAGCGGCCCTTGGTCAGAAGGTGGAGCCAAAGGTAGAAAGGTGAAGGATCACAGGCATTGCTATTCCCTGCCACTAGGCGGCGCTCTTTCCCCCTCCTTGGTCTACCCTTGGTTGTGGACAAGTTCAATGCTAGCTCAGCTGAGGCAGCCATGGCATGTCTTGAAATGAACCTGATTAGAAAAACAATGGAAGGCACAGCCACTCCACCTTCTTAGCCTGTGGTAGATTCAGCCAGCCCTATAGCTGAACCTGGAGGGATTTTCCAGAACTCTTTCCTAAGCTTATCTAGAGATCTGGATCTCCAGGCTTCCCGTGCTGTCCCTGAGGATGCCATTGTCCTTGGTCTCTCCCATGAAGGAAGCCTCCTTCCTGCCCTGTGAGAAGTCTCTAGTGCTCTGGCTCTCAGGTCCCTTATACCCAGCCTTGACTTGCTCCCTTCTGTCTTGCTGTTTTGTACATTCATGGGTCAGTTAAGGGACCATGATTTGGCCTTGGTATCCAGCCCCACTTTCCACCTGCATCAGCTCCTCTACATGGGCTGGGAGAGCCCCTGTCTCTTCCTGCTATGTACTTTCTACTCTCCCTTGAACCCTCTCCAAGTTCCCATGTCCTGTCTCATTTTGGAGTACAAATGACTCACAGACCCCAAACACAGGTAGCTCCTGTTTTGGCTACACGCTCTTCAGGTGTTCTAAGCTGAAGCAACTTGCTGCAGGGATCTTGATGGGATGTGTTCATCGATGTAGCCCAGATTTAGAAAAGTGCCTGGCACATAGTGGGCATTCAGTAAAACATTTGTTGAATGAATAAGTAAATTAGGTTTTGCTTGAACACCCTGTCCACAACCAATTCTAGAACCTTTTGCCAATAGTCACATATATAAGAGGAAAAATCTTGCTGGGTGTGGTGGCTTAATGCTGTAATCCCAGCACTTTGGTAGGCTGAGGTGGGTGGATCACAAGATCAGGAGTTCAAGACCAGCCTGGCCAACTTGGTGAAACCCCATCTCTACTAAAAATACAAAAATTAGCCAGGTGTGGTGGTACATGCCTGTAGTTCCAGGCTATTCAGAAGGCTGAGGCAGGAGAATTGCTTGAACCCAGGAGGCAGAGTTTGCAGTGAGCTGAGATCATGCCATTGCACCCCAGCCCGGGCAACAGAATGAGACTCCGTCTCAAAAAAAAAAAAACAAGAGGAAAAATCTTTAGTTAAGTGCAGTATCAGCAACTCACTTGTCTATCAGCAGTATAAGGAGACTTGCTTCATAATTTTCAGCCCATTTGAAGGAAAAAATGAGTTATCTAAATATTATTTAATACAGTTGGGCTGAAATATCACAGCAAATATCTATAGGTATCCATTACGATAGGCATTCATGAAAATCAATTGGCTACCTAGTGCTGGGAAGGAGGGGTTGTAGAAATGGTGAGTAACTGTTTATGGGTATGGGATTTCTTTTGGGGGATGATAATGTTCTAGAATTGATTGTGGTGATGGTCACACAACCCTATTAATATATGAAACACCACTGAACTGCACTTTAAATGAGTGAATTGTATGGTTTCTGGAAAGTAGCTCATGAATACTTTTATTTTAAAAAGACATAAAGAATTAAATATTAATTTTCACTTCTTTTTAGACCTACAGAAACTTCTTTGAGTAGTCAATACAACTTTTAGAAAGCTTTCCCTCCTTCCCTAGTTTGACTCCTGTCCCAGCAATTACGGCCTGCTTGCTCTGAGCATTTGTCTAGCAGTCCATGGGTCAGCATGGAAGTAGGCGCTGGACAAGGATGAAGAAGGAACACTGATGGGCTGGAGGCTGTTGTCCAAAGCTCCTGTTCCCAAGCCAGGAATAATGAGGCTTTGCCAGGTTAGGAGCCACTACCTCAAGTTTCTTAGGTTTTCCACAAGCAGAGCCCAACTTGCAACAGGATTTCCAAGCTCCCAATGTAGCCAAATAAATATGCCACATGTTTAATTATATGTGTTATGTAAGAATTTAAAGTCCTCTAAGGAGAGAACAGGAGAACACAACTTACTCAGATACTCAAAAATCTTTGAAAGAATCAAGACATCTGAAGTCAAGAGCCCAAAATGTTAAAAAGGAAAACTTCTAGCTATGAAACCCCTGTTAACCCTTGCCATCTGGCATCCTTCCTGCTTCTCTTTAGCTGTCAAGTATTGTGTACCTGTGTTAATGTTATCCTGAGTTGAACAGGAATAGAATGGTGGAGGAGTGTTTGATGTATTGCAGGACACAAAAATTCTTTTTGTGGTATTCTTATTATGGGACTTAATATCACAGCTTCTTCAATGAGTTGTCCATAAAATGGCATAATAATAATTCCTATTTCAAAAAGTTATTGCAAAGATTAAAATAATGCATGCAGCATGCCTGGTCCATGGAATATATGTACTACATGCATTCTGTTATTTATTATTAATTAAAGAAGTTGACTGGGCCGAGCACCTTCTAATTTTGCCACACCAATCATGCTGAGATGTGCTCTGCCTGGGCCTGGGTGTTCATTTTTGGCAGGGATGACCCCCTGCAAGGAAGATGAGAGCCAGGCTGCTGGAGTTTGAATTCCAGCTCTGCTACTTCCCAGCTGTGTGGCCTGGGACCAGTTTCCTCACTGCCTTACTCCTTGGTTTCCTCATCAATACAATGGATCATTCAAATTGGAAATCATAAATCTACTTCATAGGGTTGTTATAGAGGATTAAATAGGCTAATAAATGTTTGTAAGGTTTTCAGAAAATGCTCTAGCACATTCAAAGTGTCGATTTGCATATATGCATATATATTTATTGAAACGGAGTCTCTCTCTGTCACCCAGGCTCGAATGCAGTGGTGTGATCTCAGCTCACTGTAACCTCCGCCTCCTGGGTTCAAGCAACTCCCCAGCCTCAGCCTCCTGAGTAGCTGGGACTATAGACACGTGCCACCATGCCTGGCTAATATTTATATTTTTAGTAGAGATGGGATTTCACCATGTTGGCCAGGCTGGTCTTGAACTCAAGTGATCTGCCTGCCTTGGACTCTCAAAGTGCTGGGATTACAGGTGTAAGCCACTGCACCCGGCCTGATTTGCATTTTTTAAATAAAAAGATGGACAGGTGGGTAGTTGGCTTCTGCTATGAGAGCAGGGAGGGGGAAAGGTCATGCTATGTGGCAGTAGTGCCTGGAAGCTGGAGGTGAGACTGAAAAGAACAAGTCCTGAGTACTTCCTCCTGGAAGGAAAAGGTAGTACCAGGTGGGAAATCAGAAAACATTGGGAGGACAATAGGGGAACTCCAGCTGCAGAAGTTTTCACCCCTTTGCTAGAAAAGTTCTTGAACTGGTGAAAACTTCTGCAGCTGGAGTTCCCCTATTGTCCTCCCAATGTTTTCTGAATATTGCCCACCTGGTGCTATTTTTTCCTTCCAGGTTAAAGACACTTATTAACTTAGGATGGTGTAGATATAAGTCTGTGCAGAAACTCGAGATCAAATGATCAGATTGGCTCTTAAGGCCCTGTTTGATGTAGTCTGAGATTAAGTCCGTAAACTGGACTTTGATAAAACCTTCAACATGATTTGAGCAATGGGTAAAGTAGTAAGACAAAAAGCCATCAGAAAAGAAACAAAAATGTTAGCTATCTGACTTTTCCTAAAGGGATTCTTTTGGTTTTGTTTGCTTTTAATATTTGAAGACTTCCAAGCATAAACCGTTTGTCACTTAAAAACCAATAACAACAAACCCCAACAATGTTTACATAGCAATCTACCATCCCCTCAGCTGAGCTTTCAGAGAAATGAGGATTTTGCAATGGGATGGTATTCGTACAGTAACAGCAGTCCTATTTTTGAATCTATATCCTCCCTTGAATCTAGGAGGAGGATGCAATCACATACTCCTGGCCCAGTGCTCCAGTGCTCCCCATTCACCCAGCCCGATAGTAACAGACAGAGCTGTTACTCTAAAAGCCCCATTTCCGATTTCCATAGCACAAAGCAACACATGGTCTACCTACTGACCCATCTCCTGGCTCCTGTGGCCCACAGGCTGTGGTCTGGGGCTGCTGGTGGTAGAAGCTGCAGAAGGGGATGGCCTTGGCAAGGTGGTGGGGGTGGCCTCAGCTACAGTGACAGCCAGAAGCTGCATCAGAGTGACCGGCTGTGCAGTTGTCCCTGGACTGGGTGGCCTCCGATAGGCTTTTGTAGTCTCACCTGTAAGAAAATGGAATTATACTAGGGCCCACAAAATAACCTGTTAGCTCTTATAGAACTAGAAATAAAATAAATGTTGATCGAATACTAGCTATGAGCATGGAACTGTGCTAGCCACGGTGAAGGGTGAAACCCAGGTAACAGCCACATTCTTGCCTGAAAGAATGTATACTCTCAGAGCAATCACTCAATCAACCAAAGATTAAGTAGTGATAAAATAAATGACAGGTCAAAACTGCAGCAACATAGAATACAGACAAGGCAGAACATGATTAATTGCTGAATTAATTTGCCTGGCACCACTAGCAATGGTTCATGTACACGTTTTTTGTTTTTGTTTTTGCTGTTTTGATTCACATTGGCCTTGGAATAGAAGATTGAAGGTACTTTTGGCGCTTTCACTATGACTTCATCTTAGAGACTGCATTCTAGATGCTCTAGTTTAGCTTGGTTCAGGACTAGTCAACTCCTCCAGGCACCAGTTTTCTCATCTGTAAAATGGGGTAACATAACTAACTGGATTCTACCTTTTTTTCTTTTCTTCTTTTTCGAGACAGGATCTTGCTCTGTCACCCAGGCTGGAGTGCAGTGGTGCAATCATAGCTCACTGCAGCCTTGAACATCTGGGCTAAAGTGATCCTCCCACCTCAACCTTCCAAGTAGCTGGGACTACAGGTGCAAGCCACCATACCTGGCTAATTTTTAATTTTTTTTTTTTTTTTTTTTTTTTTTAAGAGAAAGTGTCTTCCTGTGTTGCCTATGCTGGTCTTGAACTTCTGGCCTCAAGCAATTTCTTCATCTCAGCCTCTCAAAGCTCCAGGGTGACAGGTGCAAGCCAGTGTGCTTGGCCTAGATTCTACTTCTAAATGGTACTCTTCATCCATGCACGGTGATTTAGATTGCTTCTCTCATTTTAAACACCACTGTAGTTGGCTCCCTATAAAGCAAGTCTCAGTTTGTTAGTGCTCTGGTGCTCTGAGAACATCTCTGAAGGTTTAGAGCAAGGGGACAAGTGACTACCCACTGAGCATTGAGAACTGCAGGTTCTCAGGGAGACACACGATGGCCCCCAAAGTAAACAGCTCCTCAGTCCTGGGAAGGAACAGCCCGCTGCTGCTTGTGCCTGCTGGGCCCCACTGGGGGCATGGTAGCTTCTGTCCCTGTGCATCTGTATCGGCTCCTAGGGCTGCTGTAACAAACTACCACAAACTAGGTGGCTTAAAATGACAGAAATTTATTCTCTCACAGTTCTGGAGCCAGCAGTCAGAAATCAGCATCACTCGGTCAAACGGAAGGTGTCAGCAACACTGATCTCCCTCAGGAGGCTGTAGGGTAGACTCTGTTTCTTGCCTCTTCTGGCATTCCTTGGCTTGTGGCCATGCCACATTAGTTTTCAAGGCCAGCATCCTCAGCTGTTTCTCTGCTCTGTCTTCACATGATCTCTGGTATGGTTTGGCTCTGTGCTCTCACCCTAGTCTCATCTGAAATCGTAATCCCCAGAATCCGTACCTGTCAAGGGAGGGACCAGGTGGGAGGTGATTGGATCATGGGGGTGGTGTCCCTCATGCTGTTCTCCTGATGAAGTTGTCACAAATTCTGATCATTTTATAAGGCAGATTTTTCCCTGTCTGCGTGCACTCTCTCTCTCTCTCTCTGTCTCTCTTTCTCTCTCACCTGCCACCATGTAAGATGTGCCTGCTTCCCCTTCTGCCATGATTGTAAGTTTCCTGAGGCCTCCCCAGCTTTGTGGAACTGTGAGTCAATTAAACCTCCTTTGGTTGTAAATTACTCAGTCTTGGGTAATATCTTTATAGCAGTGTGAGAACAAACTAATACAATCTCCTCCTCTATGGATGTAAAATAATCTCCCTCTGCCTCCCTTTTACAAAGATGTCAGTGATTGCATTTAGAGCCCACCTGGGGAATCCAGAATAACCCCCACCCCACCATCCCAAGATCCTTAATTTAATCACATTAGCAAAGCCTCCCCACATTTTTTTCCTTATAAAGAAACATTCAATGGTTCCAGGGATAAGGATGCAGATGTCTTTTCGAGGGTGTTTTTCAGCCTACCACAGCATCCCAGCTCTGGCCTTAACTCTGCTTAGGGTTGATGTGTTTTTGTTACACAGCACAGCAGGCCAAGGAGATAACATCTGAAATATTAGAAGATGCTTCTGTCTCAGGGGAAACCATTCACCTTCCCCTTTGGCATTGTACAACATCCAGGAAAATAGTGCCACAATCATAGTCCTAGACAAGCGATGCAGACAAATGTGTGGTGGGCTGTTTAGGCCCACCGCCAGCACCAGCACCTGCTCATTTCCCCACCCTGACTCTGCCATCTTCTGCAGGAATCCCAGCACTGACTTGGGAGAGCAGGTCAGCAAACAGTAGTCTGGAATTGGGTTGGAATTCAGCCATTCAGTCTGCTCTTGCAGGTATTACCAGGTCAAGGTAGGAAGCCGATCTTTCAATTGCCTTGTTTCTTGCTAAGGTGGTCACCTTTAAATCTGCCTGTAGCCTGTGCCAGACAAATCAGTAAAGAGCTGGGAGCAGCCTCGGAGGTTCAGCCAGTCTTCAAGCCATCCTCAGGCAAAACTGAATCTGCTTGATTTATGACATTTCCATTATTTTAAAGAGTTTGAGCTTTCATAACAGGTACTAGGGAAGTTTCTAATTTCTCCGTCTTGCCCTCTGGTAAATGCTACCAGGTATGACCAGGTATTAATGCCTCTTTAGGAAGGTGCAGGCCCAGGTTCCACCTACTTCATCTAGGGAAAAGCCATTTAATAAATCCACTTGTATATTTTATGAAATAGAATGTAACTAATAATCTGGAAAGAAACATAAATAAACTGACAATTTAGTTTACTTGTAAATTATTCATGAAACTGCAATGTACTAAAAATACAACTACTTGGAAATAGTGAACACTTTTTGCCACCTAAAACTTATTGTATATTGAAAATCTGAATTATCTTTTTGTCACACCGTTGGCTAATCCCCAGGCTTCTGACTATCTCAGTCTGCCTTTGCTAACATTGATTTGCTAGAGAAAGGTTCACTCTCCCGAGGGCAGTCTTTGTATCACTAGCTTATAATGCAGATGCCTTCAAGTGCATCTTAAATTCAACTAACAGCCATGGGTTTCCATGGGCTTCCTTGGGCTGCTGTTTTTGCCTGCCCTCCTTCATGGATTAGAACTGTCTTTAAGAGGGAAGAGAGAGAAAAATGACTCCTCCTATCCCAATTGCTCCCAATTCCTCACTGAACATAGTGTACTTTATTTGATCCAAGGTGAATTCTTCATGGAACCAAAGTTCTTTGGGAGCCATTTGGAAACAAAACAAAACAAAACAAAGCAACTAGTAAAATAGCTTCTTCATGCAATCTCATCTACATGGAGGTTTGATCGTTTCTCAAAGATTTTTATGGGAAAGAATTTCAAAACTTCTCCTAAACTTTACACATATTCCTCATTTTGGCACGGTCAGAAGAGCTGCCGGCAGCCACCTTCTTAAACATAGCAGGTGGTGCCACACAGCTCCCCGCACCTGGCTCATCGTTAGAACCACAGTAGATGTCTTAAAATGCAGGTCCCAGGGCCCTGGTTGCAGAGATTCTGACTCACTGGACTCAGGGTCGGCCGTGGAATTCTGATTTGAGAGCCACAGCGAGGCACTCAGCAGACAGTCAGGGAAGGTAGGAGGGCTTTCCCCATACGGGCTCAGCAGCCTGTAACAGAGATTTACTTTCCCTTTTGCTGTGATACTAGGAATGTGCCTCCCTCGTTTTTTTAAAACTTTTACAAACCAACACTTACCTGTTTTTGTTTAAATAAAAACTTACTGTTTTTACTTACCTCAAGGCTCTAAGTCAAAAAGCAGCTGCCTGCCTAAAGGTTGCTAAATGTCAGGGAGCGGGGTGGAGATGGGGGATGCGGGGCAGACAGCATTGAAATCTCAGGGGATGCCTGTTCTCAGTGTAAGCCACACAGGGCAAATCAAAGTGCCTTCTAGTTTTTGAGGGAGATAACTTCCCAGGACAGAAGGTTGTCATGCTTTCAGGCATCATCCTAGCCTGATTAACCTGTTAATTCAGAATCTCAGAGAGACGGGACACATTTTATAGGGGCAGTGCCGAGACCCGAATCTCACCCTGCATCTCTTCTGCTTACCCCAATGTCGAAAGGAATTTTATCGTTTAAGGAAGACCAAGGGGACCACTCGTTTAGTTGTGCTCATTTTTATTTGAATTTGTGAAAACTTACTCCTAAGTAAGACTAAGGACTTGGGGACTAAGACTTTAAAGAGAGACCTTCTTCTGTTCGCAAGAATCCCTTTTATGTTGGAATGCTGGTAGTTTAGCTCAGGGCCTTGCACCTAGGAGATGCTCGCTCAATGTAAATACTGAATGAATGAAAGTCTAGTAACAAGGAGATGATAGTAATGCCTAGTGATACTGTCATTAGAAGTTTAAATGGTATGGTAACGGGGACAAGTGACATCAGCAAAGCCTGGCTCTTGCTAGTTTATAAATTTCACGAGAAGCACTCTTGGCCACCCACACTCTTTGTGGATGTCAACGACTCAGACATCTGGAACAAGTGCTTGCTGGGGATGGATGGTGCTTGGGGTAAATAGTTTTAGAAATCATCTCTGCTGTGGAGAAAGACTGTACAAGCCAAGCAGACTTAATAATTATTATCTGAGTTATCATTTGGCTTTAGTTTCTCTCCCCTAAGCTCTTTTCCCTGCAACTTTCCCTGCTTTAAGGGGATACCGAGTTTGCATACTTTTTGAGTTGCTTAGAACTATGCCCTTGGGTGAGTTACTAAACCTCTGTAAAGGCCAACTTCCTAATCTGAAAAGGGAAGATACTGGCACTCTGCCTTGGGGTTACTGTAGTGCAGGTGTGTGGCACAGAGAGAGCACTGGATAGACAGCTACGGTCACTGGAGTTTTTGTGGCCCTTCCTGCTGTCCAGACACAGGCCCAAAGCTGAAGCCAGAAGGGCGCAAGTATCCCTTTCTGAAAGAGGAGAGGTGCCACTGAACTTCCCATGGGTGACTTCATTCCACTAGAACCTGGACAACACCCTGACACCCTCATCCCAGGCCAGTGAACAGAAGGAAAGGACCCGAAGAAGGGGAGGGGTCAGAAGCCACCTTTTAGGGAGTGCTGTGTTCAGAGTCAGATGATATTTCTTCCCTTCCTTCACTCTTTGTTGCACCCAAGCCAAATGAAGGTGCTTTAAGAGAGTCATTCATTAAGATTGTGGGGACCTGCCAGGAGGGCAGGTGGGCATCTTATTTCCCTCCAATCCTTCTGCAGACCCATCACAGGCGTGCAGTGCTGCAACAGAGCTGCAGAGTTTTGGGGGTGTATTCTGGGAGTCTAGAAGTGCCCTCCCACTCAGGGTAAAAATAGGGAGTGTTGACATGTCCCTAAAGTTGGGGGCTGTATGTGAACTTGGGGACTCTTTCTGCCTCAGGGATCTCTGAGAGGGGGAGGGGCACAGCTGGAGTGGCCCAGGCCAGCAGGTCTTGGCAGCTGGGGGTGCAGCAAAATGCAAGGAGGAAGGTGATCGCACCCCATCCCAGTTCTCAGACCCCAGAGGGGACTAAAAGGGGGCTAAAAAGAAGCCTGGCTATTCCTATTGCTGTGTGTGAAGGGACTGCCGGGGGCGGAGGGGGCTGCTGGAACCTAGCACGGGTATCTACCTTGGAGAAAGTAATGAGGGCACAGATTTCTGGCCCAAGAAGAGAGTTTCAGGATAAAATGAAACACTGTCCCCTTTCCTTTGATATCCACACATATCACCTACTCAGGAATCAGTCTTTCATCTGGCTCTGCAGAGCCACAAGTCCAGATGAAACAATAGAGACACCAGCCAGTTAAGGAGACCTCTGCCACCCATTTGTCTTCTCTGTGCCCAGGCCAAAAAAGAACAAGCCATATCTCAGAAATGGCCCAAGAGGCACCGGCACCCGCTGCTAGTTCACAGGTGGAGGTGGGGATAGCCGTATACTTGCAACTAAACAGACCAGACTAGACGACTGGACTCATTAAAACATCATTAGATAGATGGAGCCGGAGCAGTAAGTAAGGGAAAAGACAAAAAACATTCCTTATGTGTGTGCTAAGGCTCCTCAAATCATGAAAATCAGGAATCTATGTACATACTATTAGCATAAGAAGATCTAGAATGATGGTTTAGAAGAGGGGTTTCTGTTTGACAGAGAGTAATTAACTTCTCTGTGCTGCATTTTCCTCAGGGGGCCCGGGGCAGTACTATAGGCTGATAGTGGTTTATGGTGACTAAACTCAATGATCAGATAAAATTCTCGAACTCCTGGCCTCGTGATCCACCCGCCTCAGCCTCCCAAAGTACTGGGATTATAGGTATGAGTCACTGCGCCTGGCCTGATCAGGTAAAATTCTTGGAATGATGCCTGGCATACAGCAAATGCTCCATAAATGCTGTTCTACTGCTATTCTTAAACCATGTTCACCTTAAGTACAGGAATAGAACCTGAACTATCAGGCTCATAACGTATTAGCTAGCCCAGCAAGTTTCTGGAAGCAATGCACAATCCCATTATAAAGCAACTCACAGTTTCTCTTTGTGTGGGAAATCAAAACACCTCTGCAGACAAAATAATGCATAGTACAGTTCTTGATTTAACACAGAAACCTAGAAAGAGGTATTTTTCTTGGCCCAAAGTCTACCTATGCCCACTTTTGTAGTTCCCATGGAAGCTGGGTTGGCACAACCCCATAGACAGTGTATTTTTGGCCTGGGTTATTCGGATTAGCAGCTTGCTGTTATCACATAAACCACCTCGTTCTCTTTGCTTCTCTTCATTTCATACCTAAGTAGATACAGCCTTTTTCCTTTCAGCTGCCAAGAAACATTTCCAGACAGAATGTCATGTCATTTTCTAAAGTAGCAATACAATAGAACTCAAGGCAACAGTCAGTCTGAATGAAAATGACACAAATAAAGAGACACAATCTCGGAACTGCAAAAACAAAAAATAAAGCTTTCACTCTTCAGCCCCAGCCATCTGATCTCATTGATTTCTGTGGCCATGTTTCTGGCATCTGTTAAAATATTGCCAGAGCCAGTGGAGCTTGACCGGTTAGGATGTTAATTTCTCTGCTATCTCCCAAAACACATCGCGTGTTTATCAACTCAAGGTTTAGATTCAATCACACATGAGTACTTGCCTGCTTGGGCAGCTGGACTTTTGGATGATGAATATGTAAGAGCTGATGGGTAGGTTACACCCTTTTTGGGTTTACTTTCTGCAAAAAAGAAAAAAAAATATTGATTACAATAACGTCAAGTGGCATTTTCTTTTTTTGTATAGCTTCTGTGTTATTACTATCATAATGGAAGCAGCCAAATCTCCATGACTCAGAGTTGTTTAACATCAGCAACCCTTCTCTCACCCGTGAGGATGTGACATGGAAGCTAAGGTTTTAATCTGTGTGGCCTCGAATGTTTAATTATATCAGCAGATGAATGAGAGGCCTTTCACATGCTCTCCTTTGAGATGATGGAGTACTCTGGTCATAGGCTGGCTACCTCTTACTTTCACAGACCCTGTGGGATTCATTTGAATTTCACAACAGTAGAACAACTAAAAGTTGGTAAAATATAGGTCAACCTTGGAAAGAACCATGTGTTGCCCACCCAGGGGGAGACATGGGAGCTACCAGGCAAGGAGGAGGAGGATTGATAATGTCTATCAGAGAAAAGATGAAGCACAAAAAAAATTACCAAAGTCTTCTTCCAACCATAAAAGGATGCCTGAAATTCCACCATATGGGCTTTGTTCCACAATTAAAGTGAGAGTGCTACTGGAATATAGTAAGCCCCCTGAAGGTAAGTCATTTGTCTGACTTGGTAACTGTTGAATTTTCAGAGCCCAAAGCAGTTTTCTTCTGGCATGAAGTAGTTGCTCAAGAAGTATTTATTCAGTGTGAGAGTATGTTAATGCTTAGATCTCTGTTAAAATTAAAATACTGGCTGGGCGCAGTGGCTCATGGCTGTAATCCCAGCACCTTGAAAGGTTGAGGCGGGCAGATCACAAGGTCAGGAGATCAAGACCTACTTGGCCAACATGGTGAAACTCCGTCTCTACTAAAAATACAAAAATTAGCGGGGCATGGTGGCATGTGCCTGTAATCCTAGCTACTCAGGAGGCTGAGGCAGGAGAATCCCTTGAACCAGGGAGTTGGAGGTTGCAGTGAGCCAAGATTGTGCCATTGCACTCCAGCCTGGTGACAGAGTGAGACTCCATCTTAAAAAAAAAAATTAAAATATCTTGGTAGGGCATTATTGGCTAATAGGTAGTACCTTATGGTAAGGTACTACCTATTAGCCGATGTTACATCTAGTAATGAAAGCATTTTTTCTCCAATTCGGAGGGAATACTTTCACAGGATGTGAAGGAGATGGTGAGCAGTGTTGCCTGGAGGGCCTAGGTGGGTGGAGGAGGATCTGGTGCATTATCTTGCCAACCTTCCTACTGGCCAAGGGATGGTAGGATCATGAAGCAGAAAGAGCAACAAGGTCTCAGGAAGAACCTGGGTTTAGGAGTAAGACAATCTAGGTTTCTGTTTCTATTTTACCTTTAATTAACTGCCCCAATCTTTGAGGCTCTTGTTTTTTCATTCAGAAGACAGGAATAATGACATGGCCCTACTTACTACACAAAGTTGTAGGCATCTAATGGAAAAAATGTTAAGATGTTTTGGAACTATGTATCTCCATAGAGGTGCAAAAATTCGTTCTGGTGTTACCTATAAATGCCACGTGTATGGGCTCACTTGCATTACTTCACTTCATTAAAATCACCTGGGGAACAGGACCTGGCATTTCCAAATCCTCCGCCAATGTCGAGGCCTGCTTCAAATGCCAATGACTGAGGTTATTTTAGGTCCTGGGAGGGCCCCGTGGCTGTAGGCCACACTTTATCTACAGAAAGCGAGGAAGAGAAATCTTCTCTATTTATGGTTCTTCTCATATCTAAAACCTGATGATTGTTTTTTCTGTTTCTATTCAGAAGGAAAAGAAGCATGAGCTCAGTTCCCTGAAATGTGGATCAAAAAATAAAAGGGAAGTAATAGGGGGTCCCTCACTGACATTTCTTACCCCTGGACTGTGCAAAGATCATGCAGGTCATAAATGTATCTCTCCCTTTTCACTCCCTCTCTTAGCCCACCAAAGTGAACTAGTTAAGGAGCCCAGGGGCATATGAAAATTAGCAATAACAACCTAGAGAAAGGTCATGGTGGCACCTGAGCCTTCAGAAGAGGATTCGGACATCATCCAGTTAAATTTACTGGCCATGAGCCCCTGAATAATGGGAAGCGTTCCTTGGCTGCTGGTCAGTTATCAATCCTTATGCTGCAATGAGCTCCTAACTCATCCATTCAAGAGAGGCTTCCAAGTGCAGAAGCACAAATGTTTATTATCATTGGCAAAAAGTATTTTCGGTTAAATGTCACTAGGTCGAATGAGGAGAGACGGAAGCTGAGATTTATAGGGAATATCAGCAGATTGATTTTCACTTTAAAAGCCCAAAACATCTCTACTGCCATAGAATTAATTTTTCTTTTAAACCTCTGTTGAGATTCTTGGATTGCAGACTGAGCACTTGAGGCTGAAATGCCCTTATTTAGCAGGATCTACTTGGTAAACACTGATGAGATTATATTTCTGTCTCAACATATTTGTATTCTAGACATTAGCAGTTTCACATGGCTCCTGTTTTGAATTTTTTGTTACAAGGCAAAGACCCGGAAGTACTGCGGTTGATACCCTTCCACTGTCTGACAAACTAGTTTAATTTGAACCCTGGGTGTGTAGAATTTGGCAGGCAAAAGGAAACAGGGATTGCTCAAGTTGAGAAGAATAATAAAAGGTCTGTTTGTTGTTTTGTTATGACTCTAGTCAGTGGAGGATAGTAGGGGCTGGAGGCATGGGGTGCCTAGCAGTGCTAGAAAACCACCCAGATTGGAAGGCCTACTGTCCTATAAAACTTTTCTCTCTTCCTTATTCAGTTGGTTTTCTGTAAGTGGCTTCTTCTCAGGACTGTCCCAAGGTGCCTAATTTTGTTTGGAGGTCAGTAAGTTGGCTATAATCTAGTTTAAAATTCTTAGAGAAAAATGGGAGATTCAGGTCTAGAGTAGGGTAAGTATAAGGTGAGCATAGAACATTGTGTTGTATTCAAGCAATACATGTCAAAAGCTTGAAGGGCTCCCACTGGGGAATCTCAGAAAATATAAAAATACAAAAAGAAAAATGAAGATAATAGATGATAACATTATATTTTTAAACACAATCTATGGAGTCCGTAGTCCACTTAAAAATAATAGGTGCACGAGGGAAAAGAAAATCTTTAAGTGAGAACATTAGCTAATAAATGTGGAAGGAATGATGGAATTAGAAAAAAATATATTTTGCACTTACTAATACTGTATAATACTTGCTACAGTGAGGATCAGCAATGGATGTTAAAATCATTGGGTGAAATTTGTTGGGGAACAAGCCACTCGAGCATGTTAATGCATCACCCTACAGATGTTATTAATCGTGAGGTAGCTTTGCCATGGAGAGATATGGCAAAGTATCCAATGAATCAAACTTAGCATCGCCAACAGTGGAACAGACTACATCTTGATATGGCCGTTGTGTATGACACAACGGATATGCTGTGACAATACCTATCTATCCACTTACCAGAAATCTCAAGGAATAAGGCTCTAGATATGAGGCACGTTTGGCGTAACTAAAGGACTGGTTTTAAAACCCAAGCTATTAAATGTAATTAATGTAATTAAAAATCTGATTGGACTTACAGATAGCTGCAGTGTAATTAAACAAGAAGTTGGAGCCTTTTAGTATTTTCAGATTTGACTTTGTGGTGATTTATCATGTAGTTCTAATTTATTGTTTCATGATCCTAATTATCAGAAAAACTAATGCTTCAGATTTTTATGAAATGAGGTGGGCCATAAGCAAAAACCAACAGCACAATGAAAAGAGTACGTTCCATCTCATGGTACGTTTAGCAGCGTTTCTCCACTGTGTGGTCATACCTAAGACGATAAAGGATTCTCTCCATCGTGGTAGGGATAACGACTGGACACCGTTGGAATAACTCCCTTTATAGCCAGATTGTCCAGCAACCTTCCGAACAAGTATTTTCCCTCCTGAATTATCAAGCACACCACTATGAAGAGAAAAAATAATTTTTGAGGAAATAACAGTATTTTTTGACATGATCAACAGACTAGTAAACCAGTTGCCATCTTTATTTAGACATAGGAAAGTAGCAAGGTTATGCAGAGTTTACCTTGATGTGAAGCTCAACCCACAAGAATGGTGCCTCCAATCACCAGGCCCAGCATCTGAGCTCCAAGGCTGAATGTCTTTCTCTTTCTTCTTACAGGAGCTGATTGCTCTATCAGTCAGGAATTTCTTTTTTGCCACTATGCCTCAAATTTCTTTTCCTTGGTTTTCTCATTCCCACTAGCTCTTTTAAGTAAAACCTCTTTCTTGACTGTTTCTAATTTGGTTTTGTGATCTCAGAATTAATTTAGTTATTGCAAAGGGTGATATAAAATGATGAAAAGTAAACACTCCTTTTATTTTGGGTCAGGAAGGAAAGGTGTGCAGCTAAGTTAAACTTATTTAAAAAGGATTCTCAGGCCGGGGGTGGTGGCTCATGCCTGTAATGCCAGCACTTTGGGAGGCCGACGTGGGTGGATCACCTGAGGTCAGGAGTTTGAGACCAGCCTGACCAACATGGAGAAACCCCCATCTCTACTAAAAATACAAAATTAGCCAGGGGTGGTGGCACATGACTGTAATCCCAGCTGCTCTGGAAGCTGAGGCAAGGGAATCACTTGAACCCCGGAGGCGGAGATTGCAGTGAACTGAGATTGTGCCATTGCACTCCAGCCTGGGCAACAAGAGTGAAATTCCATCTCAAAAAATAAAATAAGATAAATAAATAAATAAGGATCCCCAAAAGACTGATAATTGTTTCTTTCATTTCTAGGATTTTGTAAGGTTTTAGATCCTGATGGGACAGTGACTGACGATGAATGTCTTTCCTTCTATGTTAGGCAGGGTCTCCATCTGGTTGCTAAATTGTACCTTTACATTGTCATTTCTTGCCTCAGAGTCTAACATGCATGGCTCCTTTGGGTATCTGTAATTTCTAGTCTGGGGAGATGTTGATTTCTCTCCATCAACACCCTTCCTTCCCTCCAGGAGTGAGAGTTGTCACTTCCTGCCCTCCCACCTTCCCGAGGAGTCAATAACATTCAACCCTCAACCTCCCAATGGCCTAGAAGGAAAGGAAGTGGTAATAATACTCAACATGTAAAGCACTTAATTGCTTTGAAACTCTTCTCACCTGTGGTGTCCCACTGGGTTCTCCCAGCAAACCTGAGTTGTGGAGTGGAGGGAATGCTGTTATTCCCATTCATTCCATAGAAACAGGCTGTGAGAGGTTGTGTTTTCTAAGTAGAAACTTGGGATTTTCTAACTAGTCAATTGCAAGAAAGATTTGAACCCAGGTCTAACTGACCTTAAGTCCTCGGTTTGTTCCTCTTGCTCCCATCTACCTCTCAAGGGTTCAAAAGCACAGGCACCTCCCAAAGTCAACTCCTCCTCCCTTGCTGTCTTCTCTCCGGGCTCCCTGTGATTGAGTTCCCTCACATTTCCCAATGGCAGGCAGGCAGCCTGAAACGATGCTGCTGTTTCACCTCAGAAGACCTGGTTCCCTCTGCCTAATCAGGCCTGTGCTGCTGTCAAAGAGCAGTGAGTTCCCAATTTCTCCTTCCCCACAGAGATTCTGACATGACTTTGCTACCTCCTTCCCTCCTTAGAATCTTGTCCTTAAAACTTAAACTCTGGTTTTGTTACATCTTGTGCTATTTCCTATAAATTTCTGGAGTTTGTTTTGTCTCCCAACTAAGTGGAAATATTTCTTATGGAAAGGACAGTATTCAATGTTTCCACATATGGAGGTGCCACTGACACCTGCTTTTGAGAGCCAATTTTTTTTATTTTTTATTTTTTGAGACAGAGTCTCGCTCCTTCACCAGGTGCCAGGCTGGAGTGCAGTGGCACCATCTCAGCTCACTGCAACCTCTGCTTCCCGGGTTCAAGCAATTCTGCCTCAGCCTCCCGAGGAGCTGGGACTACAGGTGTGCGCTACCACACCCAGCTAATTTTTGTATTTTTAGTAAAGACAGAGTCTCTACTAAAAATACAAAAATAGGATGGTCTTGATCTCTTGACCTCATGATCTGCCCGCCTCGGCCTCTCAAAGTGCTGGGATTATAGGCATGAGCCACCGCGCCTGGCCGAGAACCAATTTTTTTTCTTCAACTTTATTTTGAAGACGTGCAGGTTTGTTACATAAGTAAACATGTGCCATGGTGTTGTGCTGCACCGATCATCCCATAACCTGGGTTTTCAGCCCAGCATTCATTAGCTGTTCTTCCTGATACTCTCCCTCTCCCCATCCCCAACTCTGACAGGCCTCAGTGTGTGTTGATCCCCACCCTATGTGTCTGTGTCTTCTCATCAACTCCCACTTGTAAGTGAGAACATGTGCTGTTTGGTTTTCTGTTTCTGTGTTAGTTTGCTAAGTATAATAGCTTCCAATTTAATCCATGTCCATGGTCCATGCAAAGGACATGATCTCATTTCTTTTACGGCTGCATAGTATTCCATGGTGTATATGTACCATAGTTTCTTTATCCAGCCTATCAATGATGGGCATTTAGGTTGATTCCATGTCTTTCATATTGTGAATAGTGCTGGAATGAACATATGCGTGCATATATCTTCATAATAGAATGATTTATATTCCTTTGGGTATATACCCAGTAATGGGATTGCTGGGTCAAATTGTATTTCTGCCTCTAGGTCTTTGAAGAATTGCCACACTGTTTTCCACAATGGTTGAACTAATTTACACTCTGTGAGAGACAATTATTATGCTTTCAGGATTGGGTGAGCTAATGGGCTTGACATTGGTAGCTTGGAATTAACAGTGGTGAAAATATTTATATGGTGGGAATCAGCAAGTCAAGCCTATCTCATCCCTGCATTAGAGACCTTGTTGTTAAACATTTGCCAGCACACCACTGACTCAGACTGAAAATTCTAATAATTTTTTAAAAATTTATTATTAAATTTAAAAATTTAATAATAAATTTAAAAAAAATGACCCAGTGCTCTCTTTGCTTATTACTATTGGAGAAATAGAAACAACCGTTACCTTTTTCTTTTCCTCCAGATAAACTATTCTGTCTTGGATTTATATCCCAATATACCATGAACATGTGCATAGCTGCCCCTCAGTGAGGGAAGCCCCGCACTGCCACCTCCCTCACCTCAGGGGCTGAGCATCCTTCGGGCTGTTTTTAGAGAATGGGGAGGGGAGACTCAAGCTGGACTGGGCAGCTGAGGGTTATGTAAGACTGAAAGCCCAGATTTGGGAACAAGTATAGATGCAGAACTATTGTGTTCTCATGAGATTTTCCTGTTGGGGCAGAGTGAAGCCTCATCTTGGAAGTGGATCTATCCAGGGCTGATCCCAGGGAAGTCAGTTGTCCTTAAACCTTAGGAGGCATCAGCAATGCAAAGAAGCAGGATACACAGGAGGCTTGATCAATATAGGAGATGCTGGAGGAGGGAAAGAGTCTGAAAGAAGCTGTAGTTTTACTTATGAGGCAGACGGGGGCTCAGAGCTATGGTAATTTGGAGACTTTATGTAAATACCACCTCATCATTTGTATCACTCAGACATAAGCACTTCATAGATATTCTCTGGAAGAGCAAACCCAGTTCCACTCCTCTGCATTCCTCAGGTGCCCTTCATGGTGCTGAGCATGACCTTGATGTTCACCTCCTCCTTGATTCCAGGGGATTGGGATAACTGAGGGTCAGTTCCTTGGCTCAGAGAGAAGGGATAGTTCACCAGCAGGCCAGGTGTCAAATGGCTGCTGTTCTGAGGGTGGGCACTGGTCAGAGATCAGCGTGAAGAATGCCCTGCATGGAGTTGGTCTTTTTATTGCACGTTCTCAGAGAAATCTCTCCTCTCCCCTGTACTTGGCCCTGCTTTAAACACAGGAGTTAGTTTAGGATAAGCCTGAGCCAAAATATGATGCCTCAAAAATGTTCATTATCCCTTTGCTTTGAAGGAATCAAGGGAATTTCTTGTACTAAGACCTCCGAGCATGATATAGAATATGAACATTAAATCCTTTAATGCAAATTAATCTGAATTTCTAAACCAAAGTGTATTGTCTCCAGTCTCCCACTTCTGACTATCAGAACTCCGGCAGGACAATGGTTATAGGTCCCCAGTGTACTCTCTGCTCATGTTCTCTATATCTTAAATCCTGCCTTCTGAAAACAGATTTGCTCTGTGTGAAAAACAAAACTGATAGCTTCCAAAATTACTATCTGTTTCCCCTTAGGACTTTTATTCATCCTCCCTATGAGTAGTGATACCTCTTTCCAAATAGTTTTTCCACTTTATCAGTTACTGGCCTGGGAAGTCACAGTGGCACTCAGTTGCTCAAGCAGCAAATCTTGTTTTTTGCAAAACAAGCAAATCAAGCTCTTCTCTTCTGCCCCTCTTCCCTCATTTATATTTTTCCCACCAAGTTCCTACCCTTTAACCCAAATGCTGGGATTGTAGAGCCTTGGTTCTGTCCAAGGCTCTGCCCTTCCTGCTTTCTCCGCGGGGGCACATGCTTCCACCATAAAGCCTTTCCCAGCTTTGAGTACTGTGAAGTCTACACCCCGCCCCTAGTCCTCACTTTGTACCCTAAGCAGTGCTGGGACTCCCTTAGTCCTTATGTAAATATATCACCTGGGCTCCAGGCTGGAAGTAAGGGGTCATGAGTTTTAAACATCAATGTGGATCTAACTAGGAATTTATCTATTTTGAGGCAGGGTCTCACTGTTTTACCTAGGCTGGAGTGCAGTGGCATGATCTTGGCTCACTGCAACCTTTACCTCCTGGGTTCAAGTGATTCTTGTGCCTCAGCCTCTTGAGTAGCTGGGATTATAGGTGCCCACAACCACACCTGGCTGATTTTTGTATTTTTAGTAGAGATGGGGTTTCACCATGTTGGCCAGGGTGGTTCTGAACTCCTGACCTCAGGTGATCTGCCCACCTTGGGCTCCCAAAGTGTTGGG